GAGGGAGGCAGAAAGACCTTCCTGGAAATGATGCATGTAAGAACTCAGACTCCATACTATGCTTGTATCCATCAGTCCCTCTTTTTGCTACATTATTTAGAAATGCTTTTATAGAAAAAAAACCAAAAAACAAAAAACCCAAAAATCTTAAACAAACTGCAGATTATTTGCTTAATTTACGTAATTTTTAAGAACTTTGCCAAACTCATTAAAAAGCCTTTGCTGAAAAAATTGCACGACATTATCTACTACCTGCCTTCAAATGCAAACTTAATAAGAAGATAAAACAGAAAAAGATTTTGCAAGCATGTTAGGAAATATGAATCCTGCTCCTATAGTCTGCTTGCTGTTCTTGTTTTACGCTCACTTCATGAAAAGGTTGAAACTGCTTAAAAGCTGGAACTGATGAACCTATACATAAATGATTAGGAATGCTCTGCTAATAATTTCCAGTAAAACTCATCACTGAGTTTCCTTAGGAGCACATCAGCCTCTGCTTTGAATGCTACTTAGACTTGTAAAACCTTTTATTGAGCCACTTATTCTCAAAAATAAATTGTCCAAGTCAATTCTGTCAATACTGTCACAGACTGGCTTTTTTATTGTGGATTGTATCAGTCTCTTCAGTGATTGCCTGTTGTATTGGCAGAAAGATGGATTTTGACCATTACTGTCTGCCAGTGACAATTTTTCCCTTAATTTAGGAATTTCTACTTCTCAAGAAGGCCAGCTGGAAGCAGCTAACACATTACAGCAACTTCCTCAGCTGTTGGCCTTGGGAATATGTATTCTCTCCAGAATATATATCTTTGGCGGGGAACAGAAAGAAGGAATCTTGGGTAGTGGGTGTGCATGCCAAGTGTAAGGATTGTTATATTTAACGCCTATGTTTCTGTCCTTGAAATTATGTCTAAAAGAAGTTCAAAAGTAGGACAAAATTCGAACAGGGTGGTAAGATTTTAAAAAAACAAAAAACAAAAAAAACCCCTGTTAACTATCTTTACACAGGAGTTTTTGGTAATCTTTAATGGGAATGGTTTACATGTCTTGCTGCTTGAATGGTTTTACAGTACCTTTAGGACTGTGTCCAAGATGCACAGATTAACAGCCACATAAAAAACCCCCTCTGGCTGTGTACTAGAACATTTAGTCTAAACCTAGAAATACAGTTGTCCTACAGGAATTTTTGCTAATCAGCTACATGGCCTTAAAGTGTAGGTCATCTGAATAGTGAGAAGTAAAATACAATTAACCTCCACAAAAATAAAGTATTGCAAGTGACTGACATGTGGGAGATAGAGTGGGTGGGAAGAAGAACTACAGAAATGTATTCTTCATTCACTAATAATAAAAGCTGTGGGTTTAAATTAACATGAAACCTGCTGAATTAATGAGAATATTACATATTGGTTGGGAGTGGGAATTTTCTGTAATTCTTATATATATGCATATAAACACAAAAAATACAAGCAGTTTTGACAGATAAATTTATTTCAGATTAAATTCACTGATTAGTGTATAAAAGTGTAAGTATTTTTTATTCCTTTGAAATTGAAAGCTTTTTTATGGTTTTAAACATAGAAAGTCCAGAAATATGCAGAACCTATACATCTTCAACTCCATACAATGAGCACTACCTAAAACATGACAGCTGCACATCCAGTAAAAGGTATTTACCTCAGATTGAATATGTTCAGTGAGAGAAATCAAAAGGTGAGGCAAGTTTGGAGGGCAGTTTTGGAAGGCCCTGCTTCAGCTTGAATGTACACATGCATGTAGAGTAAAATGAGTGTCAAAATGAAGGTCAGAGCTATTGCTCTGAAGTTGCATCTAGTTGATCTGCACAAGTTCAGATGTCTCCTAGTGAAGTCAGAACAAGTCTGTATCTTTTTAGGATAAAGAAGAAGAAGAATACAAATTACTTTTATTCTCCAATATTCAGTGTCTGCTCTCAGTTGTAGCAGCAGTTGGCTGATGTGTTTGCAGGACAAACTCATGTTTAAGACTACTTCCGGGACACAGAAGCCTCACTGTTTGTGTAGCTAGCAAGTGAACTGCTAAATGCTTTCACTATTGCATACTATTTCATATTACTTTGAATATGAGCTAATATAGCTAATAACTAATATGAGCTTTTATGGTAAGAATATTTTTCTTTTTCTGGCTTCCAGCCAGTAGAATTCTTAATTTTGAAGTCAGACACCACTTCTGCTGCTGCTATGTGGACATAGAAGAGCACAGCATGCCTATCAGACCCCTCATTGATTTTAAAACCTCAGGTATCTGGAAAAATCTTGCTTTACTTGCATACTTAGTTGGGTCTAAAAGTTTTGAATTGCAAATCAATGAGGTAGCCCTGCTTCTTCTTAGTGTTCACCAAACATCTTACAAGACTTAGTAAGTTCCCATTTTTTAGAAAATAAGAATAAATGCACTGTTAAAATTTAGTACATTTCTGTGAAAATAAAAGAACATAGAACACAAAACTCTTTATTTCCTGCTTTGCCACATAATTCCTATATGAACTGAGACACTTGATTTTATCATCCCTTGATGTCAGTTTCTAAAGTTGTGATATCAATAAGTAGGTCAAACAAGAATAATATTCATTATTCCAGGCATCTGGATTGCACATATTCACTCTAGGTTAACCTAAGAGCAGATAAATTATTTTTGGAAATACTATGTACCAGGTCCACCTGCTCATGTCCTCCTTCTTTGTAGCTGACAAAAGTAATACCACATGCTCACACATCCTCTAAATTCAGTTGATAAACATGCAAATATTTGAAGGAAAAAAATGTAATACTACATGCAATATTACTCTGAATTAAGATCACCATGATAACATTTAGAGATTATCTTTCCTTATTTGACATCTTCAGCATACTAGCTTCATCATATCACCTTCATTTTCCCTTTACTCTCACATTTGTTTTCTCTTTGTGCTGTAGTTTTAGTTTTGTCTTTTTTTTTTTTGCCTTTTTTTAATTTTTCTATTCCATTGCCTCAATTTTTATTTCATTAAAATATTCCAAAAATAAATATCTTTGAAACTATGATGAGAGGAATTTAAGGAGTGGTCAGAATTTGGCAAAATTAAAATTATGTTCTGTCTTCTATTGGGGATAAAATTTGTGTATTTCTGTATAAAAATATGTGATTTTATGTTGACTATGTGCATAATGTTGGCTGTTGTAGGAACTCAGATTATTTTTAGCTGCACAGAGAAAAGGCAGAGAATTCAAGAAAAGGGGTTCTGTTGAGGGGCTCATGCAATTTTACAGCAGTATACCAGATTTAAAGTTGATAGCATACTTTGAAAATACTTCAGTACTGACTGATTTCCCTCCTGTAAACCATGTACTTGTTCCTGGGTTAAACTGTGGTGGATACTGAATAGACAACCGTGTGTTGTAATTTAGTATCTTTACATGCCCTGGCTCATGGAGGCTGTGTCTGATTAACTCAGCAAGTTACAGTTCTATATTGACTCACTGAGAACAGGAGCAAAATCAAGTCCACTTGCTGCCTTTGTAAAATGTCAGTGTTTGACTTCATGTGGTTACAAGTTCAGTCCCTTGTGGAAACATCCTAGTTTTGTACCTCTCTTTGAGTCTTATGAATCCAAGAGACAGAAGTCAAGAGACTTCTCTAGATGCACATACTGGGGTGCAAGCCCTCAATTTCCCATTTAGCACATGTAAATCTTTCTTCCAGGTAAGTGTTTCAAACGTCACTCAAATGCACATAGATAACCAAACCAAAGGTTTAAATCTTTTCTAGTGTTTCCTATAGTCAAAAGTTTATTCAGCCTTTGCAAAAAACTGTACTCCATCTCCATCTTGAGACTGGAAGGCTGGGAAACATTTTTTTGTTATAACACCTTCTCCTTGTCTTTCTCATTTCAGGTTTTTTTTTTTTTTTTTAGCTGCTTCTTGAGGCCTCCCAAGGAAATATATTCTGAACACTTATGTGATTAAAATTATTTAGAAAAACATTTTCAGGATTATGTGGCAAAATTTGCAGCCTGAGCTCTTACATTTTTCATTACAAGAAACTGATTAGTAATTGACGTATAGAGTTAGAATTGAAGTATGGAACATTTCTGTAAAACTTGGTGAAATTTCTGGGTACTTGAGTCAAAACTATTAGAGGCTAGGAGAAAATTCCAATATGCAATTTATTATAGACTTGTAGTTAAAGCAATAGCATGTGTGTCAAGTGAACAGAAAAGTAATTCATGGCCTATGAAATTTTGTTCACAAAATGCCAGAAAAGGTAAAAATGTGTTTTGTTTGAAATAGTTTTTTAAGGAACTCTATGGCACTGTCCAAGTTTTCACTCTAATATTAAGGAACTCTATGGCACTGTCCAAGTTTTCACTCTAATATATTATGTTACTGTGATGGAAGGGAATGTTACCTTTGTTACAGTGCTCAATTGTTTTATTTTCTTACCTCATTCTCTGTGGCAAGATGGCAAGATTAATTAAAGACCAGGCATCATGTCTCACAGCATGTGTTTTATTTGTGAGACATGTGAAAATATGAAGATGTGATGCAGAAACAGGAGGCATACACTCTGCTCAGCAGAAAGAGCTCTTTTGCTGTGGTTAATTAATGGCTTTATTAAAAATTCTTCTCTCTGCTAGTACCTGTGAATGTTTTTTCCATCACTTTTACCTCTAATAAGAGTAAATTAGTATTTGATACAAGAGAGTAACCTTTGCTTCCTTCAGGCATATTGCTGTATTTGAGTTTCATCACAGGCTCAGCAAAATAGACATGGACAGCAATCGGATGCTGGAGTGAGTCCTTCAATACTGCTAATTAATTTGTGCTTTTAAAATTGATTTTCATTTAGTTAATGGAATAAAATTCAGAAATCTTGAAATGCTGACATCTGAAGATGCAGCCACTGACTTCACATGGCAATTTCATGTTCATGATTACCAGCAAAAATACCTTTCCAATGAACGTATCTTCTGTGTGTTCCAGTGCTCCGTCACCTGTGGCAAAGGAATGCAGTCTCGAGTCATCCAGTGCATGCACAAGATTACGGGAAGGCATGGCAATGAGTGCTTTTCCTCAGAAAAGCCTGCAGCCTACAGACCCTGTCATCTCCATCCCTGCAATGAGAAAATCAATGTTAACACAATAACATCACCCAGGTTAGGTAAGCAATCAAAAATGACAAATATCTTTCCAGTTCTTTCTCTCCATACATTAATGATGATCCCAGTTTAGAAACAGAAGTCTAGGACTCAGGAGGTATTCAGGAGATTTAAATTCTAGGCAGAGACTGATCTTCCTGCATTAGGTTTTGAGTATGTACATCAGAGACTGTAACTAAGAATGGTGAAGGGTTTTATTATCCAAGGAAGGACATTATCATAAGACTATATGGTATTAAGGAAACAAAACATCCCATATGAAAATATATTTATATTAGAGACACTATAAACATATATGTTTTCATATATATTCACCCAGTCAATTTTATCAAACCTTTCTAAAGTAAGAAAAGACATTAATTTCTGTTTACAAATTCTGCAAACTCTGTTCTCTTGCTGTTTGTGAGATCAAGGAGGCCCTGATTTGTTCTTTGTTCTTTAAATACAAACAGATATTTCCATTTACATCTACATCTATGACTGATGTATTAGGATGTGTGAAGGAAAATTACTTTGAATGAAGAGACTTGCTGTACCTGGCAGAATTCAGGTCTCTTTTGTTCTTACAGAAATGCTGTTATTACATCACTACAGAACAGTTAATTCTGATAGTTTTTGTTTCCCAGTGCATTGTTGGAGATGATTACCATTAGCTCCCCTAATCATTCATCTGCATCTTGAGCATGAGGGGAATATTCAAAGACAGCACACCATGTCCAGCTGATTTTCCAGAGCCCTTGTTAAGATAAACCTTCCTGCCCAGTAGATTCCTCCTGCATGGAAAATGAGACCAGCAATTCAGACTGCGTGCAACAATTCCTTTAAGACAGTGAAGGGTATTTCTCTTTGAGGTTTTTAACCTTTGAACATTTCTGGGTAGCAGTCGTTGTTTCAATTTGCTCTGCTGCTTGTGGTCCTCTCCTTGCTATTTCACTGTTTGAAGGTTCCTTCACTTTGTACTTTATCTTTCTTTGTTCAGCTGGCCTTTCGGAAGTAAGATGCCATCTCCACACTGTTGATGATTTTTCTCTGGGGAGGGAAGTTACATAAGCAGCTTTGCATCATAGACTCAAGTGAATCAGAAAGAATCACACAAAAAACACAGTGTCAATTAAAATTTGACTCAATGTGAAGTGTAAAAAAAAAAAAAAAGATTGGGCTGTGTTGTCCTCATAGCATGGATTATATAGCACTGATATTAGTAATCTACAAATCAGTGTCGTCAGAGTAAGAATCAAATCCAGTAGAAATGTTAACATCTCCAAAATACATAATGAAATGCTTCTCTTCAATATATTGATAATATATCATTGATTTTGGCCTTTTAATATTTTGATTTTGGGATAGGGCTAGTGAAAGCTGATGGGAATTGTGCCACCAACTCTTTTATAAATTTTTGTTAGCATAGGAGATTAACTCAAATCTGAGACTGACTTTTTTTTTTTTTTTTCAGTGTTTGTGCTGGGTTTTGGACAATGTCTTGTTCTTGTGCCTTGTTTTTCACTGCTTTTGACAATTCCATGTCTGCACTACGTACTACATACACAAGTATTTAATTATACTTGATATGTATAACTAAATGTGAAAAGTTCCAATTTTAGTACCATGGTCCTTCTATGATAAGATGTGTAAAGGGGCTTTCATCAGTGAAACAAGGCAGAAAGATGAGCTCCACTCACTCATGAGAATACAGCTGCATAACATTTAACTAATTAAGTTCATTGCAACTTAATCCAATTTGTAAATAAAGCTGCCCTGAACAACTTTTGATGTTGAATACATTGACAACGGGAGGATGAGGGAATTCCTTCTTCTGTTCAATATCTACATCTCTAACCTTTCTCTTCCCCTGATACTCTTCATATGTCCTTGTCTCTTGCTTCATTATTCTTCAGTAATAAAGGCAGTAATGTAGATTTGATTTTGCTGTTATTGTTTCACAGCTGCTTTAACATTCAAGTGCCTAGGAGACCAGTGGCCTGTGTACTGCAGAGTGATAAGAGAGAAGAACCTCTGTCAAGACATGAGGTGGTATCAACGATGCTGTGAGACGTGCAGGGACTTTTATGCGCAAAAAATGCAACAAAAGAGTTGACCTCTGTCAGGCTGGCTAGCTCTCAGCTCTTTGCAATCTTTTTATTTATGAACACACACACACCCACACCCACACAGGCTTTTTTCAGACCAAATATTATCAGATGGCATATAATTTAATCAAATTAATTTATTTTTGCCTGCCAGACATCCTTAATGGTTTTGGTTAGACAGCAAACATGTTTTATCTTCTGACATTTTCATAATTAATTTTTATATGAACACCTTTGGATACATTTATCAGAATTTTAAAAAAATAGTAACTAGTATTTTAAATGTTTATTTTCAGTAAGGTCATCTGTTGCAAAAAAAAAAGTCATGTTATCTTGAATTTATTTTAATTTAGCTGAATAGTTTTGTTGTATATGGAAATAAAGTCCTTTTTAATTTTATTATATTTTTGGCATTTGGAGTCAGAATGATCTTGGGTTTTTTGCAACAGATGTCAAAGTGAACAAGCTAACATTATTAAACAGGTTATTACAGAATGTATTGTGAAATTAGTTCATTTGATTTAGAAACATACTGAAGGGGATATTCTACTGTAACTTATAACATATTATAAACAAGAAAATTAAAATAGCTAAGTAGAGATTTTGATCATTCTCATGGACACATACTTGAACACAAGTATTAAATCAATGAAACACTGTAGAGATTTACACTGAATCACTGTTGCACTGTTTGAGGTAGTGTAGAGAAATGCAGTCCTAGAACTTGTAACATCCTATGAATCTACGTCTGTAGTGTTTTAACATGTCACTTAATTTTTAAAGTTTTGAAACAAAATACCCATGCCCCTCTATACCTTTGTGTGTCCTTTTGCAGATTTACAAATGAAAGAGTCCTTTCTCCTGCCACTTTTATTAATTAATCTGTTAAATATTCTCAGTTCTCTGTTGATAATTTAGAAAATAGCTTTGTAATACTACTTCAATTTTATCTTTGTCTAATGAAAAAGTCTTTATAAAAATTAAATGTTTTACAGTTTTGTGAAACATTATGAAACAGCAAAGATTTTCCTTATGAGAAAATATTGTACATGAGTCACATGATTTTTACATTTTCAATAAAAAGTAAATCTCATTTTGTTATTTGAATTTTTCTTTTTTTGCGCGTCTGTGTCTGGGAGATGAATCGATCAAGCCCTGCATTGCAGCAGGTACTGCTACAATAAGAGTGCCTTCTGTCTCTCTGCTTAGGCACCACTCTGCAGCTGCAGACAGACATGTCACTCTGTGAGCCTTGGTATATATGGAAAGTTGAGAACAACAAATAAAAACATTCTGTGAAGAGACAGAATTAATTTATCTCAGGTAAGTCCTGTAACCACCCAGCTTGGCAAGTGTACAGCAGCGGGTCTTCTGCCCTCATTAGTGATGCAAGCCTTTAAGTATGTTCTGAAAACATGTAGGAGAGCAAAACCTGAAGGCAAGACAGCTGGAGAAATAAGCCAGAAAGGCATATTTTCTACTCAAAGCAAAAAAGGGAATGTGGCTTTTTTTGATTGTTGCTTTTCTTGCTCTGCAAAGAGTCTAGTGTATAGATGTGACGTAGGTATCCACACAGTGTCCACTGATGGATAACCACAGATATCCACAGACAATAAACTGAGTCCCCCAGTCTCAGACTATGATTCTGTCCAGGAAAAATACTTAGATGGAGTCTTAACTCCAATTGAAATCAACATCTGTGTTTCAAATAGCTGTAGAATCAAAATCTTTGGTTTGGCATCTTTCTGGTCTGCATTTGAAAACTGCAACTTTAATGAGGTGCTGGTGTAGGGTTTAAAAAGAAATACCTTCTGGTTTTGAAAAGTAAAAAAAAGAAAAATAATGTTGACATCATGAAATATTATATTTTGTATAATTAAAAAGTTTCAATGCGCAGAAAATTCGGTTGCTCTGGGGCATAACTCAATGTCACAGATGCACATTTGAAAGTCTAATAGAATTATTGTAGTTGGCAAGCAAAAGAAGCAATTATTATTTTAAATTTTCTTTACACTTAGCACCAGATCTTGGTAATATTCCTGCACTCACTTGAAGCACAATTGAAAATCAAGCAAAAGAAAAGATGCCTCCAGACTAGGGGCCAGAGGAAAACTTTTTATCAGCTAGTGATGTCATCCTCACAGTTCTAAATGTTTATGCCCTGCTGATTTCAAATATTTCACTAACAAGAATGTCATCTTAATCACAAAATTTAAAAAGTGTGTTTTAACTCTACTTGTATCTGTCAAAAACAAATCAGTGACTGCTGCTGAAATCATCCTCCCATCACCTCTATAAGAAGATCAGAAAAAGGAAGTACTTTTCATTAGCGGACAAGGATGTAAAGTTTTGACATTTTTTTTTAAATTTTATGAGTGATATGAGGGTGTTATAGTGCTGATAAGACTAGTTCTAGTTCTGATTTAGCATATGTAGTATGAAATTATTAGTTAAATATGTGTGAGTCATTTTGAAACGCTTTTATGTCTGAATAGCAGATATACCTCTGAATTTGAAAGCAAGTTAATTTTACCACTTCAGTATATTCTCTCATCATTCAGAGGAGCAGTACAGACTGAAATAGCCCTTTGGTCAGAAAATCATAAGAATGTTCTGAAAATGTGCCCAGGCTATGGCTTGAGCTGCAGCATACTGTGGGGAGGGCAGGCGTGTGCCAGCCCTGCAGAGTTTTCCATAGACCTGGATGCAGCAGGCAGCCCTTTCCAGCTGTGTTCAGGGAAGTCATAGACTTATGAAGGCATAGACAGTCCAGAGTTTCCTTTTTTTTTTTTGGTTTAGTTTGGTTTGGGGTTTTTTGTTTGGTTTTTTTTTTTTTTTGTGTTTGTTTGTTTGTTTGTTTGTTTTTTAATTTGTTCTTTCTTTTTCAAGAACAATCCCTCTGCATTAATATGTTTCCTTCCAGCCTGATGAATATGTAACATTTCAACAAATAAGTGTCAAATCAGGCAAATTCAGCTGGCATGTAAAGGTGAAATTCACTCTTAGCTCCTAAGGGCCAGAGTAGGCCTCTCTGCTAATTACATACCACTTAGACTCTATTTTGTTGGATTAAGTGGGATTTATGTGGTACACAGGGACTGTGCTAGGCTGGGGCACAGCAGGTTTACTTCCTCCTCCCACATATGTGCTGGCCAGCTAGAGTAGTTACCTAAAGTTACAACAGCTACCCGTCCTCATAACTCTCTTAAAGAAATACCTGAATTTTAACTGCATTGTCATTTATTCTGAAGGGAAATTGCTGCTTTGTTCTGGAGGAAGTGGGCTACATTTTGGGTTGTTTCAGGTTTTTTCCATTCAGTTTTCATTATCTTCAGTGACAGAAAAGCAGCCATCTGAAAAATACACTAAAAATAGAAAGCTTGCCTGCATCATGACACCAGTGGGGGCCTTAAAACCCAACAGATCAATTATAAAAAGAAATGTAGAAACACTCAGAAAGAATTTACAAATGTCTGTAAAAAAGATGTGCAAATTAATAGAAAGTGAATGTGAAATATATTCAAACCAGGAAGCCAAATGGGGAGATGGTGAGACCATCTGATAGCGCACAAGTGTGAAAGGGACATTCAAGAGTGATAAAGCAAGTAAAGACAAGTTCAGTGCATTACTTGTGTTGGCTTTTCCAGATGATGTGTTGCAGGGTTCCTTATAGCAGAGATGTCAGAGAAGTGGCATCAAGGCAAAGAAAATATACAGGAAAGCAAGACCAAGTAAGTATGTTAGATGCAGCCAGACTCTAAGGATGCAGTCTCCTGAGAATATTGGAAGAACACAACTGGGAAATTGGTATCAGAGCCACTTATGGTGCCCAAGCTGTCGTTGCAAGAGGACTGGCAGACTGCAGTATAACTCCTGCTATGGAAAAGACAGCCCCTTGCACTACAGATTAGGGAGTCTTGCCATAACAGCCAATGAGAGAAAAGACTCCTAAGCGGCTGGATAAGCATGTGCTCTTGGGTGAGAGCATGGCTTCAGTTGTGAATGGAGCAAAGAGGATCTGCTGGACATAGAAATCTCTGACAAAGTTCAGTATTACAGGAAATTCAAGAAGCTGCATTCTTGAGCAATCTTTATGGCTTGAAATGTGATTAAAGGATTGGAAGCAGAATAGTCATCTTTCAGGATGGAGAGAAGTCAGCAGTATGGTTCCCTAAGGGGTTGGGTTTTTTGGCATTTTCATCTATGGCATAAGGAAGAGTGAAAACTGAGTTATCTTTCTGTGTGGGTGACATTAAGCTCTTCTGGTTAACTTCTGCCTCAGTTGGCAAAAAACACAAAACCGATTGATTAGACAAGACATTAACTGAAAAGCTTTGATGTAGGTAAATGTCAAGTATTATAGCTATGAAAATAGCCTGACCCATTCGTATGAGATACTGAATTTGCAACTGTCAGTCAAAGAAGTGAAGTTTCTAATCCTATGAGAATTACTAACTGCTATGAGAATAGCAGGGGAAAAAGCACCAAAAACTGATGGGTGTTGTCAGAAGAGCAGACATAATTTTTCCTATTTTTGGAACAGGTGTAACCACAACATGAGCATTGTATTCATTTATGGTTGTTGCATTCTTATGAACAGTGTAGTGGAATTACAGTTTAACACATTGAAAATCGAAAAAAAAATAAGCAAGACAACAGACTAGGTGGTTTACAAGATGAGATTAAAAAGGTTGATAATTAGACTGAAAAGAAAGAGACAGAGAAAACTATAAAAAAATCATGAAGGTGATGGATAAGCTGCATGGGGAGCTCTTCTTAAAACCCTGCATGACTTCAAAGAGGGCATCCTTGATATGGCTAATATGGAAATTAATTTAAAAGACATAAAAGTAAGCAATTTAGGCAGATGGTCATGAGGTTCTGAAGCTTGCTTCTGGAGGATGTGCTATCAGAAGAATTGAAAAGCAGTTAACTTTATAAACAATTTATAAATAGATAATGAAAAGGCTACGAAAGAGATACTTCAGCACAAAAAAAATTTATGTGGCTTCTGAGGGAGTAAAATAATGAACTGCAGAAAGTATCCAGGTATACACTGTCTCCCTAAACAGCATTTTGTTCTTGCCCTTCTCAAACAAAGTGATAGATCCTGGGACTGGGAGAGGTCTGACTTAGTAAGATGTCTTTTATGTTCTTATGTCTAATGGAGTAGATGTCTTGGTATGTAAACTCACACAGGCACACACCACATCTTATGCTACAGTAGTAATGAAAAGCCCTGTGTTTCAAGAGATGCTGGAAAGTTTATATTTAAGAAGTCATGGTTGCATATACCCATGTATTTTAGAACACAAATTATTGCTATCTTAGTTATTACTGCACAGAGAAGAAGTGAGAACTATGTGTCATGGTTTTAAGTCTAAAACAGCAGCCTGATGGTAATCCCTAGGGCACACTGGAAAGATGTATTAGTGTTTCAGGGCTTCATTTGAGTGGGGAGACATAGCTGTAAATGTTGCACCAGATTCCCCAAAAGCATGCACATCCACTCAGAAACACAGTCACTACTGTCTCTTTTGTGGCTGTTCACAGATACTTATTTAAGCATCTACTTGAAAGGTGCCATGTTAATAATTTTAAACAGATATGCTCTAAAATAGCCTCTAATAATTACATGGAAGGAAGATAATGAGCTTTTAAGTAAATAAGGGGTTTAATTTATATGTATATCCAACTATTCATTTTTACTTAAGGATTTAAAAAATGTTTTCCGATTCTTATTTAGTTTCTATATTTCAGCTATTTTCTGTGTGGTAAATAGATTGGTTCGATTCTGTGGTCTAAGTACAGAGCTAATTTTTTTGTGATGCCCTAATTCTCAGCATAAATTTGATTCAAGAAAGGTTTTTCCTGGACTTCAAGCAAAGAACTTTCAAAAGCATATCCTCTGTGGCAGTTTCATGAAAATGAAACATATCCTAGAAAAACATATATATTTTAAGAAAAGGTTAAAATAAGAATAAGGAGGCTACTTTTGCTAGTCACACATAGAGTCCATAGTGAGAAGGGGAATTTCATTAGCTGAAAGTCAAAATGACTTAGGACTCTAAAGTAATGATGAAAATATCAAATCTCAAAATGAAATAATAAAAGAGATGTGATTGAGACCATACCATTCAAGTCAGTAACAGTGAATTTTTTCCATTCATTTGAATGGGAGCAGAATCAATTCCCTGAAAACTTCTGTTATCAATTACTTGAAACAATCTACTATTTCCCAGGGTCAAGAAGAATTTACTGTGAAAGAAATCCCTGACCCTACAAAAGTGCATGTCATAGCTGTTGTGGTAAATGGTACCAACCCACATAGCACAATGGAGCCTCTTGGTACTGCTGCAGAAAAGGAGGACTTGCTTTGACTGGAAGCTGCTTCTAATTTTCTCAGGGGAAAAAAAAATGTTACTTTGAAGTATTGTAGGCTTGACATTTTGGCAGATAACTTGAGGAAGTGCTGGTATGCATTTAAGTGTCTTATGCATCTACTCACTGGTACTCAGTTAGTTTTAATGAGTGCATATGTATCTATCAAAATAGACCTTGAACCTGAAAACTTAAGCCAGGCACTTACAAAAACTTGTCCTGTCTGCTGTGCCACTTCTAAACAATCTTTTATCATTGGCAGATGATATAAGTGAGCCTGATACCAAACAGGGGTCAGATACAGTTTCAGGAAACTGTCGTATCCTTCTTCACGTCATTAATAATAGAAAGAGCATGCACAGTCAGGAAGCAGGAGCTGGGGCTGTTTTCATTATTACACTACAGCACAGAAACATGGACCTCTCCGTTTTGCCAAACAACAACCATCCTGATAAATTCCTGCAACTGGAGGTTAAATCTTTAGTGAAAAACTCTGCCTTTCTGTCAGCCAAATGGGCAAAATTCCCAGAAGCAGCTTTGCCTGGAGTGCAGCGGTGGCACAACAGGATCTATTTACAGGTAAGGTCTAAAAGAGACTGACATTTTCCTGATTTTTCTACCTTGTTTTAAGGATCAGGAGAATAATTACGTGACAGTGACACATCAGATGTAGTCTCAGCTTCCTGCATCTCTTAATCAGCATCGTTATTATTCCTGTATATTTTCCCACTGACATCAGCAAGGATCAGGCTCCATGAGAAGAGCTATTCTCTTCAGGGGAGTCCACTGACTTTATTTCAGTGTATTGGGCTTTCTACTGCTCTCTGTAACATCTTCATTGTATTTTCCAGAAAGTCTACTGAAGTCAAATGCCACTTAATTGTACTAAAGCTGTGCATGGAAGTGCTCTCTGAAGATGTAAACCCCGGATTAAAACTGAAATTGAAGTCATATCCCTTAAATTTGGTGAAAAGGCACATTAGAGGGACATTTGAGATTCTTGCTACAAGCATATGTATCTACAGAGCTCACCATAACTTCCTTTTTATTTTCCCTTTTTTTCTTTTCTCATTCAACTTTAGCCTTCTTGTTATACTGAAATACAACTGTTGAAAGTGTGAAACATGCCGGCTTCATTAATCCAGGTTATTAAATAGAGGTAGCAGCAGTTTCTTGGTAAAAATGTAAATGTGCACTGCCTAGCAGAGGCCCTGGAGCTGGCGGAGGAGAAGTTCATGTCTGGATCAGCAGCAGTACAGCTGCATCAGCTCACACCCCTCTGGGCCCCACTTGCTGCTCCACAGTGCTCCTTTCCTGCTGCCCGGGGAGCCCCTCGCCTTTCCCCACCCCTAGCAAAAGCTCCAAGGTCTGGTTCTTGTCAAGGGATGGAGACGTAAGTGGTTGGGGTGAGGGGGGAATGATGGAGAAGGGTCTGCATTCTCAGGATCCTTAGGGTGGTGGTCTGATTCCCCCGGGGAATGAGGAGTAAGAGCCAAAGCTTGAACCTGGGGGAAGGGAGGAGAATGATGCTGAAAGTCTCCCACAGCTACTTCCCGTTGCACTTCTCCCTTTCAGACATTTCTCCCCACCAGCTCTCCAAACCCCTTTGCTCCCTACCAGAGTCTATTCCAGCCCTCCTCCATCTGCAAAAGTCCTCCCCCCGTGACACCCGCTTCCATGCTCCCCTCCCCATACTTTCCCCAGCTTCTTCCCGACCCCAGACACCCTTCCGTCTGCCTGCTCCGCCGCCTCCAGCCACTCTCTTCGTGTTGTATAATCTTTGCTGGCGGCTCCCCAAGCGGAGCTGGGGCGGGGAACACGCGCTGGCCCCCAGCGCCCCATGCAAGCAGCCCCAACCGAGGGACGGAGCCTGAAGGAACCCAAACTGCAGGGTATGGTGCAATGCTGGCCTCACCCCCTCCCCTCTTCTGTGCAGGAGGGAGGCAGCCACACACAGAGCCTCCTCCGCAGCGGGGATCCTTCTCCCCCATTGTTGTCAATCAGGACGCGCTGTCACCGAGCCAGGGCTGCAGAGCTGCGGGAGGATTAAAAATATGTAGGGAGCCCTGTGCTTTTTGACTTGTGCTCTGCTTTTTGCCACCAGCGAGAAGGTTTTCCTGGAACTCCGTGTCCCAGCCCCGGGATGGCTGTTTCAAAGGAAATGTCTGTACTCACCATGCCTCCAAAAACTGAGTTTGCAAAGTGGTGTATTTTATAAGTGTTAAACCTAGGACACAATCTATACTTTTAAGTGTAGTCATTAGTGAATTCAAGCTGTCCAGATAAAATTCATTGTCCCATTCTTTCTCCCTTAGGAGCTCTCCTTCTTTTCCCCCTTTTGCTGACAATCAAATAAAGTGAAAAGTACTGATGAGTTCCAGACATTAGAAGGAACACGATGGCACAGTGCAGAACTAATGGTGCAGGAATAACATATTTCACTTTCATATGAGGGAGATAATGGGGTTAAGGGTTAGTTAATTCAGAAATGGAAGAAGGGGGGCAGGAGGGGGAGAGAGAATTCATTTCAGAGCATGTGTGCATGATCTAAAGATTCCTAAAGTCCTTAAACCTTGAGAGTAGCCTAAATTCCCTCTTTAGAAGCTAATATTCTTTTAAGAAGCTAATGCTACTCAGGGCTCCCTATGCAAAGTGACTTCTCATTGGTATGTTTGTGGTCTCTCCCAGACCCTTATTATGATATCACTTAAATTCAAATGCACTGAAGTGCTTATGCGTTTTCTCCACCTATAAGTTTTAAAATTTGTTTCCATTAAAAAAAAAAAACCGCTTCATGTAATGATAAAAAGCTGCCGGTCTTTCTCCTCACTTTACTCTTTGATATCAGGCAAACTAAACAGCTTCTCTGCTTAGCATGTACTTTCATCGTCTACTTTGACTAAAACAAACCATAAAGCAGTCCAGGAATTTTGGCCCTTCCTTGTGAAAAGCAGCATAAAAAGCCCAGGCTTTCTCTTGCAAATGAATCACTGCTGACCGCATTCTGCTCATCCTGACAATCTCCAGTCCTACTGGACTCTCTGCCCCACAATATGTTTTAATGCCCAGCATATACCAGATGATTAATCCTCTATACCTGCTTCTCATGCATGTCTCCCCCATAGTCAACCTGGTAGTTTTTTCCAATTCTCAGACTTCTCTGTCTTGTTTATATTTCCCTTTTCCCTCCCTATTTTTGGAAGACAGCAGAGAGCATTCAGTCTTAGCAGCATGCTACTTCTTGGCATGGTGTTTTTTCAGCCTTACATATGAATTAACACATGTGTCCTGTCTTTCCTTGTTTCTCAGTATACCAGGACAAGAGATTTTTTAAAGTCTGTAAGTTAGGTGCCAGAGTCACTTCTTTGTCCCCTGGCTCATATGTGCATGACGTATTTCCACTCTCTCCCTTATTCTTCCCTAGACATCTGCAACTGGCCACAATAAGACCCAGCTGCAAGGTTGGCAGGAGCTTTGGTTTGAGACTGTACAAAAGTTCTTATATAATGCACTCACAGCCCTGCAGAACTGCATTACCAGTGACAGATAAAACACTTTTTTAACCAAACAATTCATTATAACAAGTAGTCTCAATGATGCACAATTAAAATTGTCCATATGAATATTCACTTTGCTCTAAATATTCCTGTCACTTTGGCTGAAGTGTTTATAACCATCTACTGATCTCTTTCCTGTCCATGTCAGGTGGCTTTTCAGTTTTGCAGTACCTGAGGCTGCCTTAATGTCTCACAAGTAATCCAGATCCTCTTCATTTCCTTCCTTAAGAGAATTTTCATTCCTAGAATCAGAGAGAGATTTGATTTGGGAGGGACCTTACAGATCATCTGGCTCCAGCTCCCCAGCCATAGGCAGAGATGTCTTCCACTTGAGAAGGTGTCTTCAAAGCCCCAGTCAGCCTGGCTTTGAACACTGTCAGGGATGGGGCATTCACAACTTCTCTGGGCAGCCTGTTCAAGCGTCTCACTATCCTCGCAGGGATGAATGTCATCCTTATAGCTAGTCTAAACCTGCCCTCTTTCAGTTTAAAGCCATTTCCCTTGTCCTATTTTTGCAAAAATCCTCTCTTCAGCTTTCTTGTCAGACATCTGTATGTTCTAGAAGGCTACATGGTGTCCCTGTAGCCTTCTCTTCCCCAGGCTGAACAAACCCAGCTCACCAAAACTGTCTTCATAGCAGAGGTTCTCCAACCCTCTGTTAGTCTTTGCAGCTTCATCTGGACCTGCCCAGGCTTCTCAGGAGTTCTTGATGTGAGCTGTCTGCCCTACTGTCTTTCCTATCTCCTTAACCTTTGGTTAATCCCTGCCTACCCAATTGCTTTTCCATAGCACCTCCTACGAGACATGATTCGTTGAACAAAGCTCTCAAGTGCTAATATTCTTCATAAAAAAAGAGCTTTCTTATTTTCCAAATGTCTAGCAATAACTACACAGTTGATACACCTTCCACAGTGATTCACACCCTAGCAGTTTTTTGTCTGTCAGACCTTTTGTCTGCCTTCAAAATAGTTCCACACATCAGAGAAATGTCCTTACAAGTGCAGGGAGGGTCCTCTGCAATCTGTTACAAGGTTTTTGCACAACAGAGGGTTATAGTATTAAACAAACTACTACCAAATAAAATGACCACCCTGTTAGTCACTATCATGAGGATTGAGAAGGCTGTTATGAAATAAATCCTGTTGTATCTAATGGCTGTAGTCTTCTGTAGGACTGCCTTGGTTACAACTTCTAGGCGTTGTTGCCCATCAACAGCATTTATTACTTTCCCTGAGCATCACTGCCAACATCAGGTGGAAACCAGGGCTGGCCATGGGAACAGAGAAACTGGTTCTATCTGGGGGGAAAGGAAAGAAAAGTTTGAGTTCCAGGAAATAAATTTCCTTAATAGTTTAACTTAATCTCTTCTCTTCTTTCAAGTAGATGTGCTTGAAACCGAGGTCTAGGTTTAACTGCTGATGTCCTGGGTTTGATGGGTGATATCTCATATCAGGCTGAGAAAAGAATGGTTAGGCTCTTGTGTTGTTTCAGTGCTATCAACAGCAATAGCAGCAGGAACAGAAAGATGAAGTCAGGATAAAAATGAGATAAAAATGTTTTCTAGTAATAAAGACTAAATTATCATTTTAGTTATACATATTGTAAGGTATGCATAATTTGCATTATGCAAATCAGCTAGAAGAAAACATGGAGTAGGCACATGTTGACTCAGTAATGGAACTAACATCAGCTGTCTATAGATCTCTGGGCTTTTCACAAGAGAGCTTGTACATGACAGCTCTCTAGGTCTGTCAAAGAGGGACATACTTTTCTCAGTGAAAAATGAGTTTTTAACCAGCTATAACTGTGTTCTTGCTGATGAGCTATATGTATATCAAACACAGTTATGTGTTTTCAGAGTTGAGCATTTTTAATCTTGTTAAATAAGTATTTCACAAATGTATTTCATCTACAGTTTTCAGTGTTCTTTAACTACTGCTTCCTTGAGTATTCACTGTTCGCTCCTCCCATTCAGTGAATTATAAAATAAATTGCCTTTGATTTGCTCTGTTCCACCCTCATTCACACTGTCTTCTTATATTCAGTGTGTATTGTATGAATTTTGTAATGGATATTGATATCTAAATTTACAGTACTCTTCCTTTGAACATTTGCTGCATGAGTCAGTCTGTGACAAAGATTGGGACACCCTTTGAATCTTAAAAGAAAATGTTAAAAAGCTGCTTTTGCAAGAATTAATACTAGCAAGAATATTTTTTTGTTATCTAATCTTATGTTTCTCTCCTTCTAGAAATGCATATGTTTAATGCAATAGTGTTCCTATTTCTTTTTATGATTTCTTAGGCCTAAAACTTTTGGGGTTTGCATGTGATTCCAGCTTCTGTCTTTCTTTTTCCCTAACTAGTCTGTAGGACATATCTACCACAAAAATTTTATAATCAAGCATCTGCTGTACTCAAGTATACTCTCTGAAGTTTGTCACTTCAATGTCTGTGCTCTAAAATTTCTGCCAACTATATCCTACCCAAATTCCAGTCCAGTTCTCATGATAAAACCCAGTTTCCCCTCCCAATCTATTTCCTCTCTGCTTCTGCTCCAAGCCACCACACTTTCCTCATACCCATGAAAAGAAAGGTACTTCAGACAGCAGAGAAAAAAGTTTTGCCACAAAGCACTGTTTTTACAAAAAAAAATTTTGCATCATGCCATCTATTCCAAGTTTTGGAGAATTTTATCTGAAACAGCTTTAAAAATTACTGTCAAGTCACATTCTTTTCACAACATTTTAGCCTAGGGAGACCAATCATCCCCTGGTGAGACAGTTCGCGTTCTTCAACAAAATGTTCTCCAAGTTCAACTATTTAGCAAGCCTGAGGGAAGAGTCATTAAGGTCAATGACAAACCTTAAATAAGAAATAAAGTAAATAAAATAAAATGCAGTCAGAAAGAAAAGGCAGTTAAAAACACCAGCTCAGCTGAAATATGGCCAGTACAGCCCAGAGGGCTTCAGTGCCAGCTGTAACTGCAATGCAGAGAGTAATATTATCAGGGGACATGTGAAGGCTAAGGAACGACATGTGGAAATTATGAACTAACAGAAGGATGGGAGGTCACTGAGGAACCACCCACCTACTAATGGCAATTATTGATGGGAAACATGCTTAGTCACTTATGCAGGATTTAGTGGTAGGAATACCAGTGTGATGCCTCCTCCTAGAGTTTATTAGACAAAGTCTGTTGTTATCTCCACCTTCACTTTGTGAAGGAAATCTGTCCTTATGCTTCCTTCTACTCCTGCCTGCCTCAGATCAATGTATACAAGCCTATACAGGTGCACAGACTCTGCAGTCATGAAGCAGGTGGTAGCACACAGCAGCTGACTTCCACTGAAAGAGGATTCAACAGCCCACAATGTGGACAGAAAATTACTCAAGCAGAAGAAACCAACAGTTTGCTATCATCTCAGGGATATTCACTGACTGGATTAAGTGTCCAAGCAGTTTCCAAAGCCGCTGTGCAGCAGGTCAGAAGACCTGAACTCCCACCAGAAAGGTGGAAGGAGAAGCAGGACATTCCCCTAGCCCTTTTGCAGCTGAAGTCTATTCAGCCTGTGGTACCTTAACATCTGGACATCTCAGTAAAAGTGAAAAATTCAGGGGAAGTCATCCTTATATGGAATTAAGTTTCTCAGGACCCAGATTCTTCACTGGCTGTTTATTATGTGCCCTTTACCTTAAGTGCATCTTGCAGCAGGTGCTGCCCACATCTTTTTGATTTCTGAGAGCAGGAGAGGGGTGGGGATTTCCCCCTCTCAGCATACCTAACACAGGACCACTGAATCAGGCCAAGGCTCCCCTTGACTCAACACAAAGATCCTAAATACAAAAGTATGAGGAGGGATGAATTGTCTCTGTGTTGGTTCTAAAATCCAGAAAGATGGGAGAGGTGTTAGTGTAAGACAAAGGCTCTGCAAAAAGCAGGTCTCTCAGGTGGCTGACACACTGTGGTACCACAGATCAGCAATAGGTTAATGGAAATTCTTGGGGACAGAAGGTTGTGACAAATATTGAATATCTTGGACTTGAGAGTCTGATTGTATTCCTCCATGCAATTACAGATTGAAAAGTATTGTAACTAGGACTTTACAGACCCCTAGAGAGGCTCTTACTGCTGTTTCAAGGAGCAGCTTATGATTTCTCAAAAAATATGATCCCAGCAGGGCTGCTCCTCTTCTCCCTTCCTCCCCTGACACTCACATGTTCTATTTAACAGCTTTTGTTACTGGGAGACTGCTCAGATATTATCTGAATTTTGACAGTGCCCTCAGTTGAATGAGGAGCCTCTTCGACATCCTGGCATGGTTCTAGCATTCAAGAGTGTGAACAGAGCTGTGAGTCACACCTGTGCTGTCAGAGATGCATTTCCAGTTGAAGTCGTCATTTGCAGCACCTTTGACCCTGTGAACTTTCCGCTTTGTCCTTACATCTTTGCTTTTGCGTCACACATCCATGCTTTCACCAGAACTGTAATGTTCTACTGCAGTTCTCCATAGCACTGTTTCACTGAAGCAGAGGCTTTCTTCCAGCAGGCATTATAACCTCAGTTCACATTTGCAAAAGAACTTAATGTTCAGATTGTACCCACCTGCTTTCCCCAGAAGGAACAAATCTACCCAGAGTGAGCAGTCAGGCTCCCTAATTGTAGAAGTTTGCCAGAAGGAGAAAAATGGTTGCATGTGTAGTTTTAAAATGACTCTGTTGCATTACAAGTGATAATTCAGGAAGGGGGCCTATATTGTAGGTAATGCAAATGAAAGCCATGTTCTGATCTAACTTGTGTCTTACAGAGAGAAAAGACAGCTGTCACTGAGCTGCCAGGCTTAGACTTGAACAGGGATAGTCAAGAAATAATAGATAAATCCCTGGGGAAACACATTACTCCCATCACCCTGAAATCCACAATCAAGAGCAACCCATTGTATAGTGATAGCCACGTGGATGATGACTGGGAGGAGAAGAAAAAGACCCCTTCCTGGACTGTGCAAGACTATGACAGACAGTCACTGCACTCTAACTTGGCCAGCCACATAAAGGTAATCAGCTGTGTTTGAGCAGGTACATTGCTGCGAGCTGTGTGATGTATGCATAAAGCACCGTGCAGCCCTCTTGGGTCTTCATGTGGGATTACAGAAGTAAATATGGATGCATTTTCTGGTACAGACATGACATTAATGTGAATTTGATCAGGAAAGAAATCTAGATATCTGGTGAGACTCCCAGGATTTAAATTTTAAATAGATTGGTTTTTATCAATTTCTCTGATTAGAGAAATTCTTAAACCACAATGCTCAGCTTCCCTGTTTGCATAGGGAAGAACTACAAATGTGACACTTAAATGCTATATAGTCACTTTAATAACTTTTGATAGCAAAATTCTGTTATCAAATGACATATAATTTTCTTAGCTTCATCCACACTATACAGGATCCTGACCCCTTCTGGGCTGACACAAATCACTTTTAGGATTACTTTTGTTTTTGTTTTTGTTTTTTTCCACTGTTTCATTTTTTGAAAAGGGAGTCAGAGCTGTGTTTATACAATGACATCTCATCTTGAGAAGGCAACATGGTTTGTTCTGGGGTTTCAAACACATTTCAATGGCTGGTGTCCTACTTTTGGTTCCTGGATGAAAAGTGTGGTTTTAATTTTCCCCAGTGGAACATTTGCAGCATCTGGAAAGTAGCACAACCTACATTCAAGTGAAAGTGTCTTGCATATGTGTTGTGATGTCTTAAATTCATTAATCAGTATCTGATGATAGCCAAAATACTTCTGGGTATGTTCTAATGACTTTGTGTGTAAAAGAGAGAAACTGATTTCATTTTCTGATTTCTCTTCTAGGAAAATCCTAATGATCTACAGTTCTGGATGGGGGATATTTATACTCCTGGGTATGATACCTTGTTAAAAAAGGAGAAAGAGAAAAAGCATTCAAAATATTGCCGAATCATTCTGCTCATGGTACTAGCCATTTGCATCCTAATTACCGTAATCACACTTAGTGTTTTACTTACTTAATATAGCCAAATGATGATGAAAATTTTTTCAATAAATATTTTTACTTAACTGTTCCCTTCTCTGGTTTTATTTGAATTCCATTTTGTTTTATCACAAACACAATTTATTTGACATTACTTCTTTAAAATGTTCCTGTACAGCACAAGAAATTGACCATGAAAAGAGGCAAATATTCTGAGCACAGCTGAATGTCCCACATGTATAATTTAAAAAGAAAACTATACTGTATCTTTTTTAGTGCCTTCTTTGGACTAGTGATCTAAGTCAGTATGTATGGTATGTTATATATAGTGTGTATAGAGAACCAGCTGACTATTTTTTCTAATAAATATCTACCATCCTCTTTGTCTTTTTTATGATAGCTATTTCTAGAATATAGCAAAGCATTAAAAAGCATCATTCAAAGTGTCACAAAGAATTGTAAAACAAAAACTAACACATTCCTTAGTGACTGAATGCATTGCTGCAATGATGCATCATGTAGTAAAATCCAGCCTAAATGCATAAATATTTTCTTACTTACTTTTTCAAAGAAGAAAAACAGAAAATAGGTCACTGAGTTTCTATAAAAAAAAATAAAAATCCCTGAGACCTGTGACAAAGTTCTTTCATCACTAGGTCATTTTCTTTCAACATATGTCATCAACATGACATCCCAAAAGATGGGTTACAATATTTTTTTTAACAAAATCTGTGGATTACTGGAGTACAGACTGGAATTAATGCAACTTAAAAATATTGAAGTTATATAACCAGGCTGTGAAAAAAGGTCTTTGTAAATTAAAGGAACAAAATGAAATGTTTAGAGCACACAGAGAGTTATGTTAATACACCTCAGAATAATTCAAAAGAATCACAACATGAGGTAAAATGACAAAATAAAAAGTGAATGAACAGGGAGACAAGAACTTCAAGTAATTATTTCCTTTCTGAAAAGTTACTCTGGGTGCTGCAATCCCTTTATACTTCTGTATTTGATATTTAATGACCTATGAATACTATTGAGATAGGGATTTCCCATTTGAAAGAGAATCTCACAGATGCACAGAAGCTGGAAAGTTGAGGTTATACCAGGTCTGCTTCTTGTCCAACAAAAAGGTGCTTTGGATTAGTCAGGAATAGAACTAAGGCAGAAGACTTATACTGTCCCCTCTGAATTCTAGAATGTGCCCTACTTACAGCAGGTGCACAGTGCTTTAACTCATATCAAGGTGAATTCATCTTCAGACAAGTGTATCTCATTACTTCCTTCTCATCTGGTCCATGGTTGATTATTGTGTGTGCTGTAACTTCTTGGACCTTACTCTAGGCTTGTACTGTAACTAGTTTGAAGAGTCAACCTAAAAAAATTTCAAGCTAGAAAAGTTTAGAGCTTTAATCTGGTGTGCAAAAGAGTAGCAGCATTTAAATGCACTTGCATAAAATTAGTATCCCTGTTACAAATTGGAGGTTGCTGCAAAACAAATATACAAGGGAACTCAGTCTCCTGCCTTGATGCAATTTCAGCGCAGACAGGGGAGGGGGGAGTTCTTGTCTGAAAGATCAGGCCCATTCAGTTTGCAAAAGCAAGAGCTTGGGAGTATTTTACAAGACTAATAGCTGACATTATGAAGTAACTACTCACATTAAACCAACAATACTTGACTTTTCTCCAGCCCGAGTACATTTGCTTTAAGTGCATTGCATATAATGCAGAGACGTACTCTTGTAAATTATTGAGGTCTGCAGGCTGGAAGCCTAAAAGCAAAGAGCTCTGTAATTTCCAGGAAAACAGCCAATAATGCGAGTTTCTCAACTGCATTACTCCGTGAGGGTTTAGCTAAAAGGATAAAGCCGTTTTCGCCCCCAGTTCACTACGGGCTGTTTCAGTCCGATTTCACTGCTGTCACCTAGCGGAGAGCCAGTAAAGAGAAAAAACGTGTCAGGCGCGAAGATGCCGGTTCGGACTAATTTTGGGGGTATTTTTTAATTTCTTTTTTTTTTTTTTTTTTTAGAAAGAATTCATTATTTTTTTAAAATAATGTCATGGTTCTGTCGGGCGTGGGGACGGTCTGTCGGGCGCTGGGCGCTGCCAGGAGCCGCTGCTGGGGATGCGGGCTCCTCTGCTGACCCCTCGCGGCGGAGCGGCCCCGAGCGCTCCCGGCCCGCGGCGCCGCAAGGGGAGCGGAGCCTCCTCCCTGCCCGCCCCCAGAAGGATGGGGCTTGCTGCTGCTCCCCGCGGACAGCGCTCGCGTGGGTTGAGCCCGCTGTCTGTGTAAACCGGGCTCTTGGTGATGGGAAAATAAACGGAATACTTCGAGGGGAACCAACCAGCTCAACAGACTGAGAGACAAAGACTTTTCTTCAGGGGGGAGCCTCGGGATCCTTTGTACCACGTGCTAACTCTCTAAAAACAATAGACACCTCTTCTTTAACCATTTGATCTTGTGGAAAAACAATTTTTTTTTTTTTTTTTTGGTTGATAAACATTGCTGTGTGCTGTTTCTTTTGTCACGTCAGATTTTTTGTTCTTGTTGGTTTGGGTCGTTTGGGGTAGTTTTAATTCATTAATGACAGAGATGGAAGAAGACAAGTCATCGCACGATATTGATAATAAGCTAGCGCCAGTATTGGTTGTTGGAGAACAGAACATTAAGTGTATTCCAAAAGTCCTTAAAAAAACTATAAGAAAAGGAGGCTCAGGGGGACCTTGTTGCTCTCTACAACTACTGAAAAGAGGTTGTAGACACGTGGGTGTCTGCCCCTTTTCCCAGGGGCCAAGGGACAGAACAAGAGGAAATGGCCTCAAGTTGTGCTAGGAAAGGTTTGGAATGAATGTTATCAAAAATTCTTCACTGAAATGGCTGTCATGCACTGGAGCAGGTTGCCCAGGGAAGTGATGGAGTTGCCACCTATGGGAGTGCTCCAGAAAAGCATGAACATGGTTTGTATTGGACATGGTTGGTGTTTAAGAGTTGGCACTGATTATCTCAGAGGTGTTTTCCAGCCTTAATCATTATATGATTCCATGAATGAAACAACTCCACTAGGTAAGTTTCCAGGAGGTAATCTTTGGGACCTACATTCATTGGTCTTTTCCTACCCTGAGAGCACACTTACAAATAAAATTTCATATTTTCACAGAATAATAGAATATGCTGAATTTGCCCATCAGGATCATTTAGTCCCACTCCTGGCTCTGCACAGGACATCCCAAGAATTTTACCATCTGCCTGAGAGCATTGTCCAAAAGCCTTATGAGCTCTGTCAGGCTTGGTGCTATGACCAGTTCCCTGGGGAGCCTGTTCCAGCGCCCAGCCACCCTCTGGGTGAAGAACCTTTTGCTGATATCCAAACTAAACCTCCCCTCACTCTTCTTCATTCTGTTCCTTCAAGTCCTGTCACTGGTCACAAAAATGAAGAGATTGGTGCCTGTTCCTCTTTCACTCTGTGAGAATGTTGAAGACCTCAGTGAGGTCTCCCCACAGGCTCCTCCAGGCTGAACAGACCAAGTGACACCTCAGTCACTCCTCATAAGTCTTTCCCTCCAGACCCTTCACCATCCTTACACTCCTATAGATCCTCTCTAATAGCTTAATGTCTTTCTTATATTGTGGCACCCAAAACTGCCCCCAGCACTGGAGGTGAGGCAGCCCCAGCTCAGGGCAGAAGGGACAATCCCCTCCCTTGCTTGGTTGGCGATGCTGTGCCTGTTGAACCCCAGGACAGGGTTGGCCCTTCTGGCTGCCAGGGCGCTGCTGGCTTGTGTCCAACTTGGCCTCAACAAGGACCCCCAGGTCCCTATCCTGCAGCCCTGCAGAAAACTTCAATAAGACTTTAAACAGATGTTTAAAGATAAGAAAGAAGTCAAGTTTGCATCAGAACATAAACAAACCTTGGCATAATTTTAAAATTTTTATTCCAATAGTAATCAGCTCAAATAGCAACAACTATAACAACTATAGCAAAAACTCCTATGTAGTCAGTGAAACTTAACATACCACACCAAGCTGATACATCAGTATCATACCAGCACCTCTAAAAAGATGTACAACTATGGTATAACTGCAGTGGAATACTACCTTTTACTGGGGAAACTGACACTTGCAATAACATGCAGTAACTTCAGGAATTTGTTCTTATAAACTGCACAGCAGCAACCTGTAAGCAAGCAAGAGTTCTGCAGATTATGCCCACTTATAACTGCCCTGGCAATTACTATATTTCACAAGTGATTTTAGAGAAATTACCTTTTCTCCAGTAAAAAAGGATTAGCTTTTAAAACTACGTAATCGATTGAACCTTTTTACTGGCTTTCAGTACAACTGCTCTCCCAAATTGCTATTCCAAATGTATTGGAGGATTCTGTTGAGGAAATTCTCAACCTTTCTCTTCGTTTGCTTCATTATTCTCATCCCAAAAGCATCAATAAATATGCAACTATATTCTCACTTTATTTGGTTTTGGCCTGTAAAGTTGCTGAAAACAATGTCCTGCTTGGTTCTGGCAGTTCAACAGGCACAATTTGGGAAAATTACAGCTACCACTCCCCTTCAGTAAAGCACAGACCTGGTCCATGAAAAGGCTCTCACAGGGCTTGCTGTTTTAGCAGGGTAATGTTTTCATCTTCCAGCCTATTTTTTTTTTTTTTTCTTCCAATGCACCTATTACAGAACTCAAGGTCTATAATAAAAAAAGGGGATTGAAAGAGACATTTTTGAGTTTGCTATGAGTAGAATTAGCTGGTCACATCAGGATTTGAAAAAGAAAGAAGGAATGTGAGTTGTAAATTGCAATATACTACAAATATCTGAGGATAAGGCAGAAGTTACGCCTTTAATTTTTAGTATTTCGGTGTGTGAATGGTGAATTAATAACCATAATAGCAGAACCTGTGTGGACACTGTGACTCTCTGCTATCCATCCCTGAAAAATCAGGAAGGTCTGCCACAAACTTCCCTACCCAAGTCCCATTGATTAGTTCAGAGATATTTTGAAGTAGATCAGACTGCTGAATACAC